AAATACACTCTTAAGCTTTAAGTGTATGAGCCATTTGTAAAACGACCACTTGGTTCGCATCATCATCTAATGCAGTGAATTTGATATAGTGTATTTACATCGCCTACATTTTTGTGTAACTTATTTTAAACACAAATGTAACCTTTACAACAAAAGATCAGTGCCAGGATATCTCTGTTCTTTTCATATATATTCTGGCTATGATCATCCACTCCAACCCTAGACTGCATCTCCTGTACCAGAACTTAAACTGTATTATGATATTAACAAAGAAAATTCCACATTTGAAAGCAAGGACCAAACCTGTGTGGAGAAGCATGAAGCAGGGGAAGCTCTTTTCCTACAAGTGATGAGGCCGACTTTACAAGACAAACAGTGAGGCCACGTAAACCAGAAAGTGCACACTGGAAGAACAGGCAGCCAACTGAGCCACAAGTGCATGCAGAACAGTCAGACAGAGAACATAAGAACTATGGCAAAAATGTGGAATAGGACAAAGAAAAGCAATTTTGAAATTCAACCTACTTTGGTTAGTTTACAATACATGCTAAGGAGGAATTGCAAGGATCGGTTTCTTTTTATTTCATGTTTGCTCATGGTAACGCTGCACATTCCTCAAGAGAGAGGGCAACACGCGACGGAAAAGACTACATTGTTTGCACAGCCTCATTCGAAAGGCTTCAGACTTGAATCTACTATAGAAATAAAGCTTGCCACAATTTATTTTTTATTTGAACAGTTGACAAAAGTAGAAGGCTGAAGGCCAAGGATGAGACACAGCAAGAGAAACAAACAAGACAAGATGAGCACATCAGATGTGACCAAGTAGGCGTCAACACATTAAAACCAACAGTCAGGAAGAGTGGTGATTTTTCCAAAAGCTTCTTCTGGTGATGAATCAGCATGTCAACTGAAATCAGGTCAAGTTCTTGAACGGTGCATATGAAGACCTCAAAGTTTGGGAGGTTGGGGAAAAAAATACTTAATTTGTACATTTTATCCTCTAGCAATCATACGAGGCAACAGCGTCTGTTTATATAGAAGTTCTGTATCCTTTGGTTTCGCATGGGGATGCGTTCCTTGTGTCCTTCTGTAGATTCAAATAAACCAAATTCAAGAAGTTCAAAAGGTCACACGGTAAAACATGACTTGGCAACTGTAATCAAGCAATTGAAAGGAAAAACCGACAATATGTACACAATGAAATAATTTCAGATGGCAAGAAACCGGGATTACATGGATTCGAGGGAAGATTCTGACTGTGCTCGTGTTGCTGGGATAAAATAAGCTCATTCAGATGGATGTGAAATTCATGCTCTGCATTTCTAGAGTGGAAAGAGGAGTTCACACCAGCCTAACCTGTGGTCTGAGGCAGGAGTGTGTGAAGAGCTCAGCTCAAAGGATCTGTTCCTGGAAGCGACGTGTTGACTTTCTACAATCGCCAACAACAAAAATTGTGCGCATTTGCGAGGGGCTAAAATGCACGTACCACTTGTGTAAAGATTGAATATACCAAGTGTTAAGCCTGAAGCATTCCCAAAAAGTTCTTTGTTATTAGAGGTATATTCAGTAATAGGTTGATGGACAAGAATGAGTGCAGAGTTTTCAAACACTCATTCAAACCACTTCTATTTAGCTCATTTGATGATTATTTGAGCTTCCAACAAACTTAGTAATTTCAGCTGAAACAAGATTTTCCACCAAAGTGAGTGTAGAAAATGCAAAAAGTCTATCAATTCTGGGCCTAGGAAAGTAAAGCTATGTTACGGTGTTAGTTATTAAATCAAAATAACTTTTCTTCATGTCAGTGATACTTTTATGTGGAAAATTTTTGAATTAAAAAAAAAAAAAAAAACTAACTGAAATAAATAAGGTCAAGCATAGTACTTATAACTTTATTCATTGTTGTGCTTTAACCTTGGGTCATTTCCTTTCAAAAGATCAATTTAAATGGAACAGAAACTATGTGAATGGGGAATGAAGAAAAACTGGATGAAAAAAAAAAATCAAAATACAATCAGGTATAATATTGATGATGCAATGTCTCTAAAACAGACGCAAACATAATTTGCTGTTTGTGCTCATCTGCGGTTGCACTTAACGCTGCACACGGAGCCTCAACATGTACATCACAGGCTGACTGCTCGGAGCGGGCTAACATACAGAATGAGATGCAGACCAGATGTATCTCAACACAGCTCCCTCTCGAATCTTGGCAGGAGTGGCTCAGTTCTTGCTGCTCTACTGACATCAAAAGGCAGCCAGTGGACAGCGGATACACTTTACTGATATGATACAGGAAAAGACCGAACAGAACTAATGAAAGATGGCGAGAGGGAACAAAAAAATAAAATAAACACGAGTCAATGTTCATGATGGAGTCTTGGGACATCTCTGGTATCTCGCCAGCATGAAAGTACACAAAAAGCCTAAAGAACAAGCACAACCCCCCCCAGGGAGCGGATTAAGGTGACGGCCGCCAAGATTCAGATTTTTGCATTTAATACTTTTAAAACTTAAATATCTGCAAGAAATGCGCAAACGACGCATCTGCCTTTTTTAATCAACCGTTTTTTGTTTTTTTTTACGTGCACAAAGCTTTTGTAATCATTTATATCCTAAAGCGCATTAAAATTGTAAGATAGTCATTCTAATCCTACACCCAAACATCACACTGAAGCTCTCTCAAGCCAAGAAGCCCATTTTAGTTTTTTTTCGTTTTGCTTTTTACCATTTCAGCACACTGCAGCACCCTTTCTCCAACCCGCTATCTTTGTTTTTCCCATGACTCAAGTGTAATCTAGATCTGAAGCATCAGGATTGAGAGAGAAATGGGGGAGAGAAGAGGTTGTGGTGGTGGAGTTGACGTGTCTTGCTTGTGGAGTCGACAAACTCCTACATTGAAATCTATACAAATTTTGGTAGCTTGCTGGTGTTGGGACACTTTGATGCTCTAGTCAAGAATTTAACAGGCTCCACTTAACTGCTGCAAATTAGGCTGACATCTCTTCTTGCTAAAAGGCAAAACACTACATATTTTTTCCTATGCCATTTAAAAAAGTAGATTAAACAAAAAAAGAAGAGAAAAAAAAAAAAAAGATTTTCTCCAGCAGTCCATCAGCCTTAACTGGTTTGAGTTCTTTCAGCCGGGATCCTCTCTGGCCAGTCAACATGAGGCTGTGGACGTTTGCAGTGATTCAGGTCTGTCTCTCCGAACTGGAGCGTTCTGCAGTGCTAACATTTCTCCCCTCAGCTTCTCCAGACCCACACGAGGCCGTGTGCAAAGGGGGCAAATGAGGCTGACATCTCTTCTTGCTAAAAGGCAAAACACTACATATTTTTTCCTATGCCATTTAAAAAAGTAGATTAAACAAAAAAAGAAGAGAAAAAAAAAAAAAAAGATTTTCTCCAGCAGTCCATCAGCCTTAACTGGTTTGAGTTCTTTCAGCCGGGATCCTCTCTGGCCAGTCAACATGAGGCTGTGGACGTTTGCAGTGATTCAGGTCTGTCTCTCCGAACTGGAGCGTTCTGCAGTGCTAACATTTCTCCCCTCAGCTTCTCCAGACCCACACGAGGCCGTGTGCAAAGGGGGAAAACACTATTACAGAAAAAGCTCCACTCCGGCGGATAATGCCGGTGGCTTTATTCACACAGAAACGGCCCGATCGGACAGCAATGCACTAGTAACTCACACGGGTGAGAGAGAGAGAGAGAGAGAGAGAGAGAGAGAGAGACTGCATGTAAACGTGTTTGAATGTACATCTGTGTGTGTTTGTTTGTGTAC